ACCTAACTCCAGAGTCTCTGCAACACTTGCTTGAAATTGGAGGTGCCATCGGACCCGGATAAGCACATCGAGCATTTATATATGGCGCTCTACATAAAGAACACTGCAGCACCTAGGGCTATACAATTTAAGTGGGCAATAATAAATCAATTAAGTACAGTTTTTAATTTATATTCAAAAGAAATTCAAAAGGAGATAGAACCTCCACTAGTAAGATGGAACAATAAAAGACACATAATATATGGAACAAACTTGCAATGAACTTATAAAAAATACTTATCACAGCCACCTAGTGGCTTTAAAAGTGTATAATTATATGTACCAAGTAAAGGTAAACAATTATGACTTATATTAATAATAATTATTATTATTACCAATATTAATATAACATTAGTGTTGTTATAATTATCATTATGAATATTAATATTTAACTCTGTACATATTAAGTGAAGCTATGGATGCTTTGGTTAAAATACACCTTCCAATCCCAGTAGTATAGGTCAAGATAGATTTCATATAGTTTAAATTAGGAATGAAACAATGGCAATAACAGATTTCACATAATTATTCTTTTACTAAAACTGAACATCGGACAACAATAATGGAAATCTTCACGCTTCATCTGCTAACACTTATCCATCCGCATCTCGTTGGCATTACATTGACGCCCTCAACCTACCAACTGATTAACCAACCAAGTCCTTTTCGTTTTTAAGATTAAATTATAAATTGTAACACCGGCTAATGAAGAATTCCATCAAATTCACTTTGGACGTAAAACAAAACCTAACTGGAAATTCTGAAGACATGACCATTTAATTAGTCTGATATCCATTTTTATGAATCAAAATCCAGAAGTGTCTTAAAAAAACATTTAACTAAATAAAATATGGGAAATGAAATTCTGGTTTCATATTAAGTTTATGACTCAATAGTCTTCAAAATAATAGTTTGCAGGAAAAGAAATAAGTTAATTGTATTTGTTGTAAAAAGATCACAGAAATATTGTCTTTAGCCAAAACAGTGGTTAAATAGGGATCGATCTGAACATTTGGCACACTCATAAATGTTCGGCGTATTAACTTATGTCACTCTCTTATTCTAGCTTTAGGGCCTACATATAGGATTCAAATACGTGTATTAGGCCTATTAAACCCTTGTCCCACAATAAGTGATTAATACAATTCACAGCGATTTGTAATCAAAATACATGCGTTCTATCTTAACATTACTATCGCGTGCGTGTAGGTATACGGTTTCAGAAACGTTTGCACTCTGCCCAATAGCAAGGATAGCTTTCCCGTATCCTTTAGCAATTCTCGCTGCCTGGAATACGTATTCTTTAACGATCTTCTCTGACTTTGCTTCCCATACATGCGTTTCATTAAATGGCCAACAGCCAACATTCACAACAAAGTCAGCATAGCTTCCATTCATTGATACTTGTGACTGGACATTTGAACTGCCGTATCTATCTTTCAAGTAGTTGCCAACTTTCTCCTCAAATTCGTATCCACGATTGTACGCCATGTCAGTATCTCTGTAATAAACAATTGGTACAGATGCAGCAAAATAATCTATGAATAATTAAGTGACAGGCTAGTATTATGTATAGAATTTTGTCTACCTTTGGAATCTCTCTTAGCATGAACAAAATATCGTTGATTTTAACTTGATTAGGTTTACAACACTAATTTGATGCCAAGTGATTTTTGTCAACACAATTACACTATGATTACAGTAACGCCTAGTGATCTGACACGTCTGTATAGTGCTGATTGGATAAAATCACATAAGCTTACATAACGTGTCTTCCGGATGAATGTTGGGTTTTTCCAAACACTCAATTTTATGAGAAAGAAATCCCAGTATTATTACACGTCTCCCTCTAATTAAGGACCACTTAGGGACTGGGGCTTTAGTGTTCTGTATTTATAGGAGTTGGTCTCTAATTAGAATCCCTAGCTAATTACCGACACTAATAGGGCCTAGATGGTACATGCCTCTAATTCCTAATATCAGAATGTTTTATTCCAAATGTTTTAAAATGAATGTACAGGCAGTGGCGGCGCCAGCGGGGGGACAGGGCGGCTTAAGCCCCCTCCCCACCGGACAGGTAAAGCCCACCCCTCCCCCCTCGCCGGACAGAGCTCGTCCATAAAACATATAAAAATAAGCCCACACCAAGCCAACACATGTCTGTCACAGAGAGTGCCATTTCCGGCCATCCAGAGGTTGCTATTCCTAAAAAAATCGCATTTGGGAGGGGACCACCTCTCATCACCTTCCCTCATGCTCGAGCTTACGAGCTCAAGTCCCCTGTCGGACAACTTAGCCCCCCTCCCCAGAAAATATATCCTAGAGCCGCCACTGTGTACAGGTACTGTAGTTATACAATTATATAATAAAACATCCTGGCGTAGGATCAATGTCAAGCATTTGACAGTCACAATTTTGTGAATAGAGATCAGTAACCCCAATATATACTCACCAAATCACCCTTACAGAGGTACAAGTCTCATATTGCGGAAACAAGAAATCTTGTTAATCTCATCCCAAGCTGCTCTTTACCCCATTAGGTTCATCATCATCATCATCATCATCATCATCATCATCATCATCATCATCATCATCATCATCATCATCATCATCATCATCATCATCATCATCATCATATCCTGAGGTAATTCTTCATTACTGATCTTGTAATTCAAAAATCTGTTAAAGCAGGGTTGACGTTCCATAATAGTTCAAAGATGCGCCTGCATCAAAGATCTTGAACATGGACGTCGTTATTCGGTTCGGAGGAATATAATTTTATGTTGATAGGTTTGTTAGTACTGAGAGTGATTTAATATCAATCATAGAGAAAACCTACCGGTATGCATTTTCAATATGGAGCACTGTTCAGTTCACTTCAATAATTTTTATTCGCATGTTTTCTTACAGTGCATATAATAAAATCCAAAAATAGAAAAAAAAAATCGTTGTACACAGAACAACCGATGTACAGAAGAACCAAACTTCGCATATAAGTTACAATACACAAGATAACAATTTGAAAAAAAAAGAAAATATCATTGAAAAAAAAACTTAATTGAAACTTGAAGTTTGTGTTAACTCAGTGGACTCCAATAAAGATATTCCCTAAAACTGTATACACATAATCTTAACAGCAATAAATGTGTATTATTTTGATTTAGATATGTTTAGTATGTTTAATTAGGACATTTGCTTTTATTGAATTATGACATTTTATAACATTATTATAATATGACATTATTATTATGACATTTGTTTATATTGAATTATACTATACTATATAACTATACTATATAATAAACACCCAAAATAGAAAAAAAATCGTTGTACACAGAACAACCGATGTACAGAAGAATCAAACTTCGCAAAAAGTTACAATGTACAAGATAACAATAAAAAAAAAAAAATTGAAAAGAAATCATTGAAAACAAAAATTAATTGAAACTTGAAGTTTGTGTTTACTCAATGGACTCCAATAAAGATATTCCCTAAAACTGTATACACCATCATCTTCATTAAATGTGTATTATTTTGATTTAGATGTTTTATAAATTGACGTTTGTACAGGTAGTTCTCTTTAGTTTACAGTATGTTTAATTAGGACATTTGCTTTTATTGAATTATGACATTTTATAACATTATTATTATATGACATTTGACATTTGCTTATATTGAATTATACTGTACCACATACTGCGTAGCCAATCCCAAGAAATGTCAGAGAGTGTAAAAGAGCAGAAGACTGTTCCAGGTGGGGCCGGGGGAGCCCCCCTCCCTCTGTGTCGGGGAGAAAAACCACAGTTTATCGGGGAGGCCAACAAATTATATGTATAGGCCTATTCTACATATTATTAGTAGACTCTACAATCGATTAAATAGTCCTTTGAAAACCATAAATTGTCATATTTTGCTTTGGTTCCGTCCCTGCTCCACGTTTGAAACACAGCGTGGACACATAGTTTTCCACTCCGTGTACACTTTGATATTTTTTATGGATGATCAAATACATCAACAGCGGTTTAATTAAAGTCCATGTGTTTTATCTTCACACTTTGAGAGCGTGCATACTGCTGAACAGTGTCAGAAACTCTTGCATCTCGCCCAACAGCAAGGATAGCTTTTCCTCTTCCTTCAGCAATCCTTGCAGCTTGCGAGACGTCCTCCTTTTCGATCTTTGGTGAGGACTTCGCTTCCCATATCTGGTTTCCACACACAACAAAGTCAGCTTTACTTCCGTTCATTGGCACTTCTGATTTGACATTCGAACTTCCAAATTTCTTTCTCAAGTACTCTTCAACCTTTTTCTCGAATGAGTATCCACGATTTTCCATGTCTGTATGTCTGCAATAAACAATGGAAGAAATATTTTATTTAATTAATTAGTTATTAAGTGACAAATGTATAATTATTGGGAAAACAAATTACAAAATAAAGAAAACAGAAGAACATTTTCTAAATACAATAATTATAGATAGGCCACCAAGCCCCACCACATTGAACAAGTGCTGTTTTTGTAGACCTTTAGTTTTTAATTTAATTTGTTTAAAGGGCCAAATATTTTTTAGGGGGTTGAGATTATGGGCCAAAGATAATATCTGAGTCATGAAATAAAACAGTTATTATGTTTTTAGAGTTTTCAAATTCTACTTTTTATTGCTGTACATAACAATATTAGGGTACTGCAAATATTGAAATTCTGTAACTTTAAGTTGTAACTCAAATTATCTAAAATGTCTAAGCTCCACCCCGTCGACACTGGCGGCGCTCTTGCCAGGTGTCCCCTCCCCCACCCCAACCATTTTGGTTCACTCTCTACAAACTCGCACCCACCCAATAAAAATCCTGCATACGGGCTGGAGAGGGTGGAGGGGAGTAGCAGCTGACAAAGATAGCAAAATGGTATTCCTCAAGGTTGGATTTGATGTGTTTGTGTTTGCCATTGTAATTTTTCGCTTTTTTATGCCATTTTCTTGTTGTGAAGTTGTACTTATGCTAATTCTTTTTTGTTTTAACTTTTAAATTCATAAATTTTTTTATTGATTTTTTTTACCGTTACCTAGTCTACATAGGAGCCACCCTTGATCGATGCTTCAACGTAAACGTCATATAAACATATGTATATATATGTATATATATATTTATCTATATATATATATATATATACATAGATAAATATATATATACTTACATATATATACATATACATATATATACATATATATATATGGCTACTTATATATATTTACATATAGGCCTACATATATATACATATATTTAGATATATATATATACATACATATAAATATATATTATGTATACATATAATTATATATACATATAGGCCTTAATATATATATATATACATAAATATAGGCCTATATATATATATATATATGTATATATATATATATAGGCCTATATGAATGGATGATAGAAAATTTAATATAAAACATTTTGTACAATGCCTACCTTTAAATTACTTAATTAAAAAATGTGATTGACTTTGTAAATAGGACATGTACTGCAAATTCCGTACGAAAACAAGTGATGTATTTCTTTTTCATCACAAATCGTTGATACGCCTTGCGTTGATAAGTGCTGGTTGGATAAAATCACACACGTGATTTGGATTGGGAAAAACCAGGTATCAATAATAATTAATGAAGCGGGAGTATTTACTGTATTATTATGCTCTCAAGCAAGAAATACTAGTCATAATAGGCCCATTGAGGGTACCCATAAATGTTTCGAGCTATGCTTTTATGTAGTCAACCAACTACTGTGCACTATGTTCATTATATTTTGATTGAACAATACAAGTGATGAATAAATACCGATTTTTTCCAATATAACTAAATGAAAATCGTGTAGAGATTTCTACTTTCGCCACCCTCAGCCTAAATCCATGCATAATCCAGCAGCCGGTAAACGAATTCTCAGAGGATATCGCCCCTTGTTTAGAAAATTCGGCCATGAGAGCGGCGAATTTACTAGGAACGCTACATCACCGAGTTTAAATTCACTTGGCGATCCATGTGATACTGGTATCTACAGTGGCGGATCTGGGGGGGGGGGGGTGAATAGGGTGTCTAGCCACCCAACTTCCTTTACCGTGAAAAATAAAATAATGGTCACTCGTCTTGTTTGTGTGTTTCTCGTGTACTCATGGTAAAACATTTCTATTTTAAGCTTACTTCTTTTCAGATGCTACCTAAGATCGTCTAGCAGTCTACTAATTCCAAAAAAATCTCAAATGTGAGGGGACG